CTTTAGCTCGTTCTTGTCTTGTCGAAGTTTTTCCTCTTGCAGAGAATTTTCCTTTCTTTTAGCATCTTCATAAGCTCCATCAATTCTTATTTTTCTTTCTTCTATTTGAGATCTGACTTCATGGTCTCGCTGGACAGCAGCCAAGTGATTATTAAGTGCTTCTGCTCTGCAAGTGATTTAATAATTGTATTATCAATTAGATTAACTGGCAGAGATATTACTGAAACCAAGAAAGAATAAATGAAAGTTGAATTAAGCATTCAGATTTTAAGTTCTCCTTCATATAAAATTTTATATTATGTCCCATAAAAAATATGTTTCCAAACAAAGCTGATCACAAGTAAAGTTATAATCTGGCCAATGGCCAAAAGAAAAAAAGAACAATTTTAGTAACAATATGTAGATAGACATTTAAAAGACGCTCCCACAGGATTTCAGAACAGAACAGAATCAGAAAGCTTAAAGAGTGATATGAAGAATTGCTTATTATTGTTGTCCGAAAAAAATCAAGATTTCAAACATAATAAAGCATGGGCTTCTCTACTACCTCTAATAACTGAACTAAACTGATCATCATCCACGATGCAAAGCTGTATATGGAAACATCTACTTACAGAGGTTCCTATCTTGTCTTTGAAAACAAGGTCATCATCCACTAAACTTTGGATCACATCTTTTACAGATTGAGAAATAACACCTTTCTTTGGGCCTGACTTCTCAAGCTCCTTTAGCTAAAATCACCAATAAACATATAAACAGAGCTGTAGAAGTACAATATAAGCTGAAACCATTGACATTGTTCACAATGACAAAGAGATTAACCACATTTGAAATTACAGAACTCAATTGAAATCAATTCGAATAGGGTTCGCAAATTAAAATTACAAAAAATTGAATGAATTCATTAAAATTATAGCATTAGGGCGTGATAATACTCACAAGGAAGAAATCTTGAGAGTCGTAAAAGATTTGAAGCATCTTCTCACGCTTCTCATCCACTAGAGAGATGGCGAGCTTGGCAAGCTCGATGAGATGGATGGGGCGAGCTCGGTGACCTAGATAGCGCAAGGGAGATGGCGATCTCGGCGAGTTCCATTACGTGGATGGCACGAGGGGAGATGGTGCTTCAGATATGTAATAGAGATATGAGATTGGAGGCAGAGCTCGGAGACGACGACAACCAAGGGGCTAAAGATGGGTCGCAAACAGTGACCTGTGTCGGCGAGCTCGGTGACGACCACAGAGAACAAATGGGAGGGAGATTCAGAGAGTTGAGGGTTTCGATTTTCAGAAGGAGGGAGATTCAGAGAGTTTAGGGTTTCGATTTTCAGAAGGAGGGAGAGAGAGGGATGTTCCATTTTCAAAAGGAGGGCGAATTCTGAAATGTTTTGGTCGAGGGTGAATAACTTAAGTGTCCTTTTGTTTTAGCGTGTTTTCAAAGGACGACGTTTGTCAATTCCACACCGTAGTGTTTTTAAAATCAACTGCTTTTAGTGGTGTACTAGATTACATACCACGACTGTTTTACAATGACGATTTTAAGATTAACTGTCGTCTAGCTTGTGTCGTTGTTTAACAATTTTGTAGTAGTGGGAGCTTTTAGCTTCCAAAGATGTTTCCATAACTTCTGAGACCTAGAAGACGAAGGGCTCGTTTGGGAGTGCTTCTTCCCGAAGCGCTTATGCTAGTAGTGCTTATGTCAGTAGCGCTTATGACATAAGCGCTTCTACAAAAAAGCAGTTTGTCGTTTGGATGTCACATTTAAAAGTGCTTTTACACTACATAAAAGCCCTTTTGATATTTTGTTGAGTGTTTGGCTGACACAGTAAAAGCGCTTTTAAAAGTACTTTAAAAAAAATTTAAAGAATCCCAAAATATTATAATAAACACAAGAAATAAAAATTCATAGGATCCCAAAATAAAAACACGACTTAAAAAAGTATGAACTTCCCAAATTAAATTCATAGGAAATCTAAAATAACAACATAATATGTAGACATAAGTGAGAGTCAAGAGGGTATTAAAAAAAAAAGGAAAAAGTTTGAGGAAAGATGAGGTTTGCAGCAACAGCAAGAAAGGAAACCCAAGTTCCAACAACCGAATTGTCCCTTGCATACTTTGATGCGTAATATATGAAATTAAAATGGAATTGGCAAGAACCACCTCAAAATTTTGAATAACACCGTCTTCAAGCTCGTAAATAAGAACAGTACAAGAAGAAAGGAAATGACTTTGCTTTCGTTAAGAGAAAAAGAGAGAGAAAAGGAAAGAAAGAAAGGGTATTTTGGCATTTTAAAAAATTAAATATGGGTATTTTTGGCATTTTAAAAGTTTCATTAAAGAAAGCAAAGTGCTTCCCTTGTTTTTGTCCTGCAGCGCTTTTAAGAAGAAGCACCTCTCAAGTGCTTCTTCCAAAACCACTCCAAGTGCTTTTGAATCTCACCCAAAGCGCTTTTGCAATTTTTGCCAAACACCATTTTTAAAAGACAGAAGCGCTTTCACCCATTTAGAAGCGCTTTTCGCTGTTTCAAAAGCACTCCCAAACGAGCCCGAAGACCCAGAGGTAGACAAAGAAGCTGTCTGTTTTTGGAATTCCAAAGCAGTCTAATACCCACTCTTAACTGTATATCAACCATTACTAGAAAAATGTCAAATACGACGATCACAATTATCACAAGCTAGAGGAATAGAAAGGTAGAGCTCATCTTCGGGAAAAGTAAAAAGGCGATAAATCTCAAAAACACTAGTAGTAATGAGAGCATTTACCCTAGAATCGACAGGGAGATGGGGAGGAGACTGGATAGTGAAATCAAGGTGATGAGGAACCCACAGATCTCCATATATTTTTACTAAGCATCCATCGCCAACATGCCATTGAAGACCACGAGAAGGAGCTCGCGACCCCCACATAATCGGTTGCCATGTAAAAGAGGGTGTTGAACCCACTTGGGCATGCACAAAATCAGAATCAAGAAAGTAGCAAGCTTTGAACATTCTGGCAATAAGGGAATTGGGAAATCCCAGCGAACGCCACCCTTGTTTGGCAAGTAAGGCTTGATTAAAATTAACAAGCTCGCAAAAGCCTAGGCCTCTTTTAGTCTTATGTGTACTGAGGGCTTTCCAATTCTTCCAATGAATGCCTTTCTCACCTCTTTTCGACCACCAATAGCGAGTGAATATACCTTCTATCTCAGAACATAAACCAGTAAGGAGGTGAAAAACACTCATAGAATAAGTAGGCATAGCATGACACACACCTTTGATAAGCACCTCCTTCCCAACTTTGGAAATAAGTTTGCCTTCCTAAACAGAGATTTTTCTCCAAACACAATCTTTGACAGCACGAAACATGTATTGTTTTATTTTCACCAACAATAGTAGGGAGACCTAGATAGCGTTCATGACAAGGAACAACCGGTACACCCAATAATGATTGGATTTAAGCTTGAACTATTTCAGGGGTAGATGGGCTGAAACAAAAGCTCACTTGTCAAAATTAATTTGTTGTTCCGAAGTCGCTTCATAAAGACCAAAAATGCGTTTCAACTCCATAATCTTTGAAAACTCAACATCACAAAATAAAAGATTGTTATCAGCCAAAAATAGATGATTAATAAATGGTGCAAAGGGAGCCTTTTGGAGCAACACCAAGAAACCTTCAGCCACTATAAGGAAAAGATAGGATGACAGTGGGTCTCCTTGGAAAACCCCGAGAAGGGACAATATGCCCAGATGTCCTCCCATGTAGTAATAAGGAATAGGAGATGGTGATAATGCATCCCATAATCAATTGAATAAAGTGATCAGGAAATTCCATTGTGTGCATTATGCATTCCAAAAATATCCACTCCACTCGATCATAGGCCTTGGCCATATCAAGTTTCAAGATAATCTTTCGTCTTCTCAATTTCCCATTATGCTTCAAACAATGAATGGTTTCAAACGCTGCTAGAACATTATCCAAAATCATAAGGTGGGGAATAAAGGCGCTTTGATATTCCGAGATAACATCTAGCAAGAACTTTGGAAATAATTTTATAGAGAACATTAAAAAGACTAATGGGACGAAATTCAGTTACCCTAGATGGTGAATTAACTTTTGGAATAAGGGCAATCAGAGTATGGTTGAAAGCAGCCACCCCTTCACTCCCATTAAGAACGTTCAAATAGAGTTGACAGACATCAGAGCTTATAATATTCCAATAGCGTTGGTAAAATAAAGTTGGCATTTCATCTGGACTAGGAGCTTTAGCCGGTCCCATAGATTTAATGGCATTTTCCACCTAATCACAAGTGAAAGTCAGGGATAGAAAATGCTGATTCATTTGAGGGACAAGGTGGAGACTGTCTCAAAAATCTCGCTACTCATATTTGTACCAGTAAAAGAAAATAGGCTATTATAATACTCCAAAAACACATAACCGACCTTCGCAGGATCACTCTGTAGGACATTGTTGGCATCCAAAACCCTTGTCATGGAATTAGTTTTTGCTATATGAGTGACTATCTTAGGGAAATAAGAGGTATTCCGCTCACTAGACTTTAACTAATTGACACGAGACCGATGCCGCCAATAAATTTCATCCAGCTCCAATAATCTGTCTAATTCATTTTCAATCAATTTTTTGCTCTATAAAATAGTCTATGATGAGCAATGGTTTGAGACGAAGCTAGAGAAGCGCGCAAAGACTGGATTTTAGAATTCATTTGGCAAAACTTTTGATGCTTTTAGGACGATAAACGTTGAGCACAAAGAGAAATATTGGCCGTAGGAGAATCCCCAGTTTGCCACCCTTCCTGAACTATTTTTTCACATTCTTCATCGATTGTCCATTGTTCTTCAAACTGAAAGTGACGCGTGAAGGGAAAATTAGGTGTAGGGAATTCTAAAATCCCTAGAAGCTATGAGAAAACAAATCATCTAGCCTATGCATATCAAATATGAAATCAAATAAAAGCGAAAGCAAGAAAAAACTAGAGATTCATGCAAGTCTCAACCTAGGTCCCAATCTTTATAGGTTTATGAAAGTTTGCACCTTTGACACTACTATCACATATTAAAAAGAAGGTAGAAAGTGAGGTTACCTTTGGAGCATATCTTGAATCCCAAAATGGTATTCAAGAAGAGGGAGTTGTCCCTTAGTTGTTGATTCTCCGCCTTGTTCTCCAAAAAGGCACAATATGGTTATGCCGACCCAAAGTATATTCAATGAGAATGAGAGAATAAGGAACCAAGAGAAGAAGTAGAAGTGCTAGCCTTTCTTCTCTATGGTGGCCAGCCAAGGAAGTATTTGAGAGAGATGCTTGATGTTTTCCTCTCTTCCAAAATGCCTAACTTGAAACCCTAAGTAGGTGTTGTGCTATGACTACAATTATATAGAGACATATTGTCACACATGTGCCACTAAAGAGACCCCATGTGACGTACTGTTGCGTAGATACAGCTGCACCAAAATGGGTTCAACTGCATCCTCAACTTGTGATACTCGCAAGTGCACGAGCCGTTTGGTAGTATAGCATATGTAAGTGCGAGGTCGATCCCACGAGGATTGGTGATTGAATGATTCAATTCATTTTCCCTACACAAAACAGAAATGAAAAAGAAGGGAAATAAATAAAACAAGGAAGAAAGAAAATAACTAACTCAAGCAGATAAGTTCCCAAGTTCAATTAGATTAACGGATTGATTC